GGGGGGTATGAAGGGTATGAGAGGAGGAGGGACGGGGAACAAATAAATATAAATATTAACTTGAGAGAAAAAAAAGAGAATTGCCCAGACATATTGCTTAAGGAATTGCTTTTTAAATGCTAATTTGCTCGTCGACTTACAAGTCGGACTTACTCATTTTATTTGATTGGCGTCTTGTTGAAATAATTTCCTTGTCTTTGAGAACAATCTCTTTTACCTCTAGAATGGCGTGACTATTCGTCCCATTCGGGAATCAAACTCGGGTCTCTTATTTGCAAAAATGACGCGCCTAATTACAACACAATCGACGTCGGTTCGATACAAATTTTTCATTCATTTATTTCTTAATTAAGGGAGGGGGGGGGCTACATTCCCAAAGTCAAAATTCGGCTCAAAATTGTGGAATTGGAGCTGTAGGCATTTTTAGATAAATACAATATATGGATAGGTAGGTAGATAGATAGATTGATAGATAGATCGGTAGAAAGATAGATGACAACATAAACTATTACCTGTAATATCCTTGCTTGACGATGGTCTTGAAGTGGTGGCCAAAATAGATGGGTTCGCTGCTGTTCTGGGAGGACAGGAAGTAGCGCAGGTTCTCCACGATGACGTAAGTGTCGTCATCAGCCTGGTCAGGGGGGGGGTCAGGGGATTAAGAGGTCAAGGGGTCAAGGGGTCAAGGGGTCAAGGGTGGACACCAAGGTCAGTCAGCTCGTCTAACAATTGCTTGTGTTTGCTTAAATGTATACACTGTTAAAGGCATAGAGCTTGATGTTGAACAGGAAGAATACGTGCTGAACAAAATATGGCTTTTATTATTACTTTTCAATTGATGATTTCTATTGATTTGTACTTATTTTTATTATTACAGTCCTCTTTCTCCTCCTGATCCTCATGCTCCTCTAACTCTTCGCCATTTTAATTGTCCTCCTCTTCGTCATCCTCTTTGTCCTCCTCTTCGTCCTCCTCTTCGTCCTCCTCTTCCTCCTCCTCTTCCTCCTCCTCCCACTTAGTCTCCTCTACCACCTACTTAACCACCACCTCCTCCTCCTCCTCCAGCCCCCCCCCAAATCCTACTCCATCTCCTCCTCCTCCTCCTCCTCCTTCTCCTCCTCCTCCTCCTCCTCCTCCTCCTCCTCTTCCTCCTCCTCCTCATCCTCCTCATACCTTCATAAACCAATCAGCATCGTTCCTGTGGTGCTCGTAGACATAACGGAAGCCTTGCATGGTCTTAGCCGTGAGATGTTCCCTTCCCTCCGACACATTCAGGCCCACAGTCGGGAAGTTCTTGTCGGTCTCCGAGCTACGGACGTTACAGGCCAAATGACAAAATACAATATCAGGGGATAGGAGATATATTATGAGAGCATCTAGGATGGAAGGGGGGGGGGGCAACATTTGGAAAGTCCTGTTCTCCCTCTGCTACAAATTGGACAGAGAGAGAGACTCAGAGACAGAGAGAGAGAGGGAGAAAGAGAGAGAGAGAGAGAGAGAGAGAGAGAGAGAGAGAGAGAGAGAGAGAGAGAGAGAGAGAGAGAGAGAAAGAGACAGACAGACAGATACAGAGAAACAGAGAGAAAGAGACAGAGACAGAGACAGACAATATTTTACAGAGCGGGTTGTTTCAGCACGTGAGACATATTGTATTTACTAATGTCCTGTCTTGTGCGTATGCGTGAGTGCACCTAACCTTTGTAACATCCACTACCATCGAAAACGACCAAGACAAATAATTTCTCCCTGCGAGATGAATAAAGATTGTCTTGTGGGTGTTTGTGTGTGTGTGCGTGTGTGTGCGTGTGTGTGAATGTGTATGTGTGTGCGTGAGTGGGTGTTTGTGTGTGTGTGAGTGTGTGTGTGTGTTTGTAGAGGGGGGGGTGGTGTTTGTGTGCATGTGTGTTCGTATGTGTATGTATGTATGTGTGAGTATGCTTGTTCGCCTGTATACCAACGCGTGAGTGTAAGTGAGTGTGCAAACAAACACAGATGTCCGTTACGATTTCGTGCTATATTGATATCCCTTAGGGCTTCGTACTGTATTGCTGTAGTCTCATTTCATTGTCACCCACACGCTTAAACCGTGGGAGCACAACCATTTGTCATCCACTATCATGGCGACACCACGCCAATATTTGTTGTCCTTCTTCTTTGAGCAAGGTCTTTGTCCGTTCCTTCAAGGCTCAAACTCTCACGAATTGAGCGTAGACAATTTTTTAACAGTTCTCAGCAATCTGAGAAAATCTAGGGTAAGTATATGTTTTAAACTATTCTGAACAAACATTTTAAGGGACTCTAGGGTAGGAATGTGTTTTATACAATTTTGAACAAACTCTCTGAGCAAATTTAGGGTAAGAATGTGGGATTTTTTTGTTTTTGATTGCTGTCGTGGTTTTTTTTTTATAAATGTTTTACGGCGCTCACAACTGAAGGTCATATGGGCGCGCGGGGCTCAATAAACATTTTCAGTTGATAGGAAATTTTGAATTTTGCCCGGGTGCAGGCCGAAGCCTACTCTTACCGATTTTAGACCACAAAGGGATCTTTAACGTGTGCGACTTGCACACGTGACCTCGGAGATTTTTCGCCCTTCTCCCAGAAGGCTAAGCGTAGAGAGAGTCAGAAGCCCAGAGGACGGGGAAAAGAAGGTGAAGGGGTGGGGGCAGAAAGTGGAGACGAAAGCAAACAACAGAACATCGCTAGAGCTCAGAGGAATGTGTTTTAAACAATTCTGAACAAATTGTCTGGGTAAAATTAAATACCTGAAGAAAATCACTTTGTTTGCTCTCCCGGCCCAAGTGTTCTTCACAACGGTGGCTTTCTGTTTCAGGTTCTGTGGTGACGTCATCACCCATATAAGGACTCGAACTTTTTCCCTCAGCTTCTGCGCCTCTGCATCATCGTCTGCGGGTGGGGTACAATGGTGCATTACTGCTGTGCTCTAGAGAGCAGGAGTCTTTAACACAGTGAAGCAGTGAACATAGAGGTTTGTTTTCTACCACATCATCATCCTACTATTACTTACATATATATATTATATTATACAATATTTAATGTGTGTTTATTATATATATATATAGAGAGAGAGAAAGAGAGTGGTTGAAAGAGAGAAAGAAACTGAGATAGAGACAGAAAGACACATAGGCAAAGAGAGGAAGAGAGAGAGAGAGAGAGAGAGAGAGAGAGAGAGAGAGAGAGAGAGAGAGAGAGAGAGAGAGAGAGAAAGATTGAGGGGGGGGGTGACTGATAGTTTTTAGCGTGATGGAAGTGTATGTTACTGTTTGTTACTGTGATGTTACTGTCTACTTAAAGATATTACCGCCATGGAAGTGCGCATTTCTGTTTTGTACATGATATTACCGTGGTGGAAGTGTGTGTTGCTGTTTGTTACTGTAATGCTACTGTTTGTTACATGATATTGTAAAGATGGCTGTGTATGTTACTGTTTGTTACATGATCTTACCGTGATGAAAGTGTATGTTACTGTTTGTTACTTGAATGTCACAGTTTGCTAAATGATATTACCATGATGGAAGTGTATATATGTCAAAGTTTGCTAAATGATATTACCATGATGGAAGTGTATATATGTCACAGTTTGCTAAATGATATTACCATGATGGAAGTGTATGTATGTCATAGTTTGCTAAATGATATTACCATGATGGAAGTGTATATATGTCACAGTTCGTTACATGATATTACCGTGATGAAAGTGTATGTTAATGTTTGCTACTGTAATGTTACTGTAGTTGAGATGTGTGTTATTATAATCAAGAAATGTTACCCTGAGGAAGTGTATGTTACTCTTAGCTACATGTACAGTGACGATAATGAGTGTTACTGTTTGTTACACGATATTATCGTGATGTAGGGTTCGTGTTTCTCTCTGTTGCTGTGATGCCACAGTTTGCTACATGATATTACAGTGACGATAATGAGTGTTACAGTTTGTTACATGATATTACAGTGACGATAAAGAGTGTTACGGTTTGTTACATGATATTACCGTGATGGAAGTCTATGTTACTGTTTGTTACTATACTGTGATGCCAAAGTTTTCTACATTATATTACAGTGACAATAATGAGTGTTACGGTTTGTTACATAATATTACCGTGATGGAAGTGTATGTTACTGTTTGTTACTGTGATGCCACAGTTTGCTACACGATATTACAGTGACGATAAAGAGTGTTACTGTTTGTTACATGTTATTACCGTGATGGAAATGCGTGTCCTTCTCCAGCTTGAGTCTCGCCATAGAAAGGTTAGAGATAACGTTGTCCAGCTCCCTGTGGAAGTCTCTGTCGGTGGCAATGGGCAGCTGGCGGGTGGGCGTCACGTGAGCCAGGCTGTGGAAGCTGGCGATGAGGAAGGCGACTGTCAGGCCCACCGCCATGCCCATGACGAACTGTCGCGTCGTGAAACTCATGACGTCACTTCCGCTGTTTGTGACGTCTGCTGGATTTTCGGGGAAAGTTCTTTGGATGGATTGACTGTTGTGTTTTTTTTCTCTTTCTTTTCTTTCAAAGTAACAGGTCTGTATCTTAGATCCTAAACTGAATATTTGATCGTGTAATACCTCGTAGCAATATTTTTGTCGTTGTGAAAAACACCAGGAACGTAGCTACTTTTTTCGTGTCCAAAGAAAGCTGAGCAAAGATTTATGAACTTTGTTTCTTTGTATTTTAAGATAAAAATAGACTCTTACAGTAGAAAAATAGACTCTTACAGTAGAAAAATAGACTCTTACAGTAGTGTAACCGTTCACTTTGATAGTTTGGGTCTTTTTTCTTTTCTTTTCTTTCAGCTATTTCTGATTTCCAACTGGGAAACCCCGAGAGAAAAAAAAACCCCGCGTATGAGAACGTCTATATCAAAGACGGAAAGCTTCAACCTCACTTTATAAATATCGTGAAGTTGCTTGATTTTAGTTGAAGCTGGTGTTTATTAGACTTCTTCAGCAGCACTATGGAGGACACTATTATAAAGTTG